ACTGCAGCAAAGTACCCGACGAAAGCAACTCAAGGGAGATTTGTTTGGCTTCCCTGACAAGGTGCATGCAGTCCATTACAGCAGGGGCATCATGGGGGCAGGAGCGTGAGGCAGCTGGTCACACTGTATCCTCCTCTGCCAAGAGACGGGGAGAGGCTCATCTAGAGAGAGGGCCCAGCTGTAAAGAGCGCTCCCATTCTTGCAGAGGACCCAGGGTGGGTTCCCAGCGCCCACACAGCAGCTAGGGGAAATTAAGAATCACCATGGAAACATACCTCTCTCGAGTGTGTTAATGAGGGCGCTACCAGAAAGCGTTTAACGGAATGTAGAAGACCCACTCTGAATGTGGGTGCTGTTCCACGACCTGGAGCTCCAGACTGAATGAAAAAGCTGAATATCAGTATTCATATCTGCAGCTGCTTCTTTTTTAATTTTTAATTTATTTTTATTTCACGTGTGAGAGTATTTGGTCTGCATGCATGTGTGCTTGCTGCGTCTTGCCAGGTGCCCTCATCAGACCCCTTTGGAGCCGGAGTAAAACACGCGGTGTGGGTGCAGAGAACACCTCATATCCTCTTCAAGAGCAGGAGGCACCCAGCCGCGAAGCCAGCTCTCCAGCCCATAGGCTTTATCTCTTCAAGGACACGGTGTCAAAAAATGTTCTCAGACGGTGAGAAGCTGGGGAGATGAAGTTAGAAGAGTGCTCGCTGCAGAAGCCTGAGGACCTCAGTTCAGTCCCCAGAACTCAAATAAAAAACCAGGATTGATGGCACATGCCTGTGATCCCAGCCCTGAGGAGGCTGACCGGAGGTTCCCTGGGACTTCCTGGCCTGTGAGTCTGGCTGAATTGGTGAGCTTCAGGTTCAGTGAGAGGCCTTTCTCAAAAAATAACGTAGAGAGTTACTGAAGAAGACACCCAAAGTAGATCTCTGGTCTACACACACATACACATGCACTCACGCACGCATGGGTGGAAGTATTTGGAACCCACCACAGAAAGGATATTACATGTTGCTATGTATTAAAAGAAAGACTCACTAAGAAAAATTGAGGGGAGGAAAGTTATATGGGCATCCAAGAGCGCTGACATTAGAATAGCCAATGCAGCCGGGCGGTGGTGGTGGCGCACGCCTTTAATCCCAGCACTCGGGAGGCAGAGCCAGGCGGATCTTTGTGAGTTTGAGGCCAGCCTGGTCTCCAAAGCGAGCTCCAGGAAAGACACAAAGCTACACAGAGAAACCCTGTCTCGAAAAACGGAAAAAAAAAAAAAATAGCCAATGCAACTGGGCAGTGGTGGCGCACGCCTTTAATCCCAGCGCTAGGGAGGCAGAGGCAGGCAGACCTCTGTGAGTTCGAGGCCAGCCTGGTCTACAGAATGAGATCCAGGATAGGCACCAAAACTACATAGAGAAACCCTGTCTCCAAAAACCAAACCAAACCAACAATAACAATAACAATAACAAAAGAATATCCAGTGCAGATATCCTGAGGTGGAAGGGTGTTTGATGTATTGAAAGAAAATCAGAGGCCACGGGGATGAGTAGTTGGCTATTTGGTCACAGGTCACTTGGGCCTTGGGGTAGATTCATTAGAAAAAGAAAAAAAGGGGGGGGCACCAAATGATATGGAAAGTCAGTGAAAACATTTCGAAATGAATACTGGCTTCTGGGTTTTGTGAGGCACCTCCATTAAAGAGGCAAGCATGATCAATGGATGATGGAGTTCTGGACCAGCCTGGGAACAATGGAGGTGGCAGAAACGGTTAGAATCTGGCTGTGGTTATATTGTTGTTTCAAGACAGTTCTTCCTATGTATCCCAGCCTGGCCCGGAATTCACTATGTAGGCCAGGCAGGGCCTGGACTCAGAATTCTCCTGCTTTTGTGTGCTGGGATCACAGGCTTCTGCATGTCCACCATGCCCAGTGAAATCCGGATATGTTTTCAAGATAAAACTGAGGATTTGTGGATGGATTGGATATGGATTGTGAGACCATTAGGATTTCAAAGTGTTTAGTCCAAGACAGTAAAGACTGCATGATGGTGGGGTCACATGGGATCAGGAGACAAATCAGTTTGCTTCGGACATTGTGAGTTTGAGACACCTATTAAACAACCGAGTGGAGACACTGAGTAAAGAGAGTAAAGCATCCAAGGCTGAAGCTCGGGGAAGAGGTTTAGGCTAACACAGATACAGGAGTCAAGATAGATAGCTGTAGCTCAGGGAACCCCTCAGAAGGGGAGGAAGGCTTGTAGGAGCCAGAGGGGTCGAGGACACCACCAGAACATGGCCCACAGAATCAACTAAGCAGGACTCCTAGGGGTTCACAGACTGAAGTGACAATCATGGACCCTGTCAGAGCTAGGTCCTCTGCATATACATTGTGGTTGTCTAGCTTGGTGTTCTTGTGTCTCCTAACAGTGGGAGTGGCAGGTGTCTCTGACTCTTTTGCTTGCTCTTGGGACCCTTTTTCTCCTACTGGGTCGCCTTGTCCAGCCTTGATGTGAGGGTTTGTGCCCAGCCTTACTGTAATTTGTTATGCTGTGTTTTGTTGATATCCCTGGGAGGCCTGCTCTGTTCTGAAGGGAAGTGGGGAAGGAGTGGATGTGGGGGAGAGGAAAGGTTGGGGGTGGGGTAGGAACTGGGAGGAGTGGAGGGAGGGGAAACTGGGGTCCGGTGTACTGTGTGAGAGAAGAATGAAAAGAAAACAGAAAATTTTAAAAAATATGTAGATGTTACTTATTTTGAGTGTATGTTGTGCACATCTGTGCTGAAGCCAGGGGATGTCACAGGGGTCCTGCCCACTTTCTGCCTTTTCCTCTTGAGACAGGGGCCTCACTGGACCTGGAAGTAGGTTATGGACTGGCAGATTCCAGCAATGCCCCTGTCTACACCGCTCACATCACTGGGGTGACAGGCACATGGGTGCTAGGATCTGAATCCAGGTCCTCATGCTTTGGCAGCATGCACTTTTACTCACCGAGACATCTCTTCAGCCCTGTAGATGGCATTTGAAGTTATGAAGAGATAAAGACCTGTAAATAAAGAAAAAAAAATCTATCAATAAAGAAAAAAAGTGTCCTTGAAGCCAAATTTGTTTTAGGAATTTCAAAACAGGAGCTGAGGGCTAGAAGACTAGCTCAGTGGTAGAACACATGTGTACAAGACCTTGGATTTGAGCCTAGTAGCAACAGTTTAAGTTAGAAATTATGAAATGACCACTGGCTTTAACAACAGGGATGGGGGTGGCTGGGAGGACAGTCCTTTATAAGATGGGTGATGGGATATTTGGACATTGCTGAGATACATGTGCTCCTAGACGAGAGGCAGGGCTGGATATCATGTGGGGGGAAGTCCCCTAAAGCTCAAGAGAGAGGCTTCAGCCAGGGCTTGTCACAGCCAACATGATGTTAGTGAGGGCTGGGGGAGGTGTCAAGATGGCCAATTCACCTGATTTCATGTTTACTCAGAGCCACACATCTAAATTGTTGATGCTTTTATTGTTGAGACGGGGTCTCATTCTACAGTCCAGGCTGGTCTGAACTTACTACGTACACCTGGCTGGCATGGAACTTGCAGAGATCCTCTTGTGTCTGTCTCACAAATGCTGAGATTATGGGCATGAGCCGTTGTGCCTGGCTAGACCTTTGATGTTATTGTCAAATAAGGTTACGCATGTAGCCTTTTGGATTTGTGTTGTCCAGAATGCTTAACTATATAACCTTGTTCCTTCCAATATTAATTTATCAAGTCCAAGAAATGGCAGTGGTCTGGACCTTATTCAACCTGAGTTGGAGTGGATGAAGGCGATGAAAGCTTGGTGATGAGGGGACAAAAGAAGCCGTGAGCAAGGTCCTTAGGAATGAGTGTCTTTTGGCCCTGGCTGCCTGTGCATCGTGTCTGGTTCCCACCCAACGCAAAAGCGCCCCTAAGTGCTGGGTAAAAGGCAAACCAGAGCAGAGGAACTCTTGCTCCACATAGATTTGCACTGCATACTGTGAGCCCCCAAAAGCCAGCTGAGAATGTTGCAGCTCAAACGTGGGATTACAGTGCCACCCCATGGCCATGTGTGGTTATCTCAGGACCATCCTCTGGACTGAACTGGCAAGACACACAGTACCTCACACAGGTCTCAATTCCTCATTTTATTTTATTTTCTTTCTTTTGTTTTTGTTTTTTGAGACAGGGTTTCTCTGTAGCTTTGGAGTCTGTCCTCGACTAGCTTTGTAGACCAGGCTGGCCTCGAACTCCGCTTGCCTCTGCCTCCCCAGTGCTGGGATTACAGGTGTGCGCCACCACCGCCCAGCCTCAATTCCTCATTTTCAAGAACTGATCTCTATAGATGCAATCCAGTCAACTGGAGACTCAGGAGCCTTCTAAGGTCATGGTTAGTACAGCACTTGCCTAGCATACACAAAGCGCTGGCCCTAATCCTCAGCTTTAGGAAGTGGAGGTAGGAGGAAAAGAAGTTTGATTTTAGCTTCATATAGTAAATACAATACCAGACTTAGATTTAAAAAAAAAAAAAAAAGAGCTGGATGTGGTAGTGCTCACCTTTAGTACCAGCACTCAGAAGGCAATGGCAGGCAGATCTCTTGAGTTCCAGGACAGCCAAGGCTGTATAATGAGACCTTGCTCCAATACCACCCACCCCTGAAAAGGCTGACTCCTAAGTAATTCTTAAACACACTCAAACATATAGTCCCTTCTGTCCAAAACTAGCCTTCAGACTGGCTTGTACAGGAGGCCTTCTTGAAGTGCCCCAGGAGGCAATGGCCTTTCCTGCTGTTCACATACACAAGGAAATGGCACTGTTTTTTTTTTTTTTTTTTTTCCAGGAGGCAAGGAAACCTTTTATTGACAACCAAGGACACAGCCATTGAGAGGGAAGCACACGGGACTGCAGACTAAAACCCAACGGCCAGCAATGGCCATTTGGGCCAGGAACACTGCCCCCTGGGGTCCTCACATTCTCCCACCAGTAGACACACAAGACCGGGCATCCAAGGGAGGGGGCAGTAGTTCTGGTGTCCCAGAGAGTGAGAAGACATGTGATGCTTCATTAGGAGCCACAGGGCAAGGAGGGTCATCACTGCCCAAGAGCACCTCCTCCTCTGAGAGCCAAGACCAGGTGGAGGACCGACCCGCCTAGAATCTTGTAATCAGCGGCTGTCTTCTCATCATTCATCTGTTTGCCACTGTAGATGAGCCGCTGCTGTTGTGGGGGGATCCCCTCTTTCTCTTCCACACGCTCCTTGATTCGCTCCACCTTGTCTGTGGGTTCAATGTCAATCTCAATCTCCTTTCCAGTCAGCGTCTTCACTTTAATTAGCATCTTCCTCCCAGGTTGGGGCTGCAGGCGGCTAGGGTGCTGCTTCTCTCGCTCGGAAATGGCACTGTTTAACAAGTTTTTATTAACAGAGATAGACAGGTAGACAGAGAATGCAACAGAAATGTCTGGAAACTGAGGGGTATGCACATACACTAAAGGCTTCTTTTGGACTAGGGTGGCTCCTTGGACCCAGGATTACATCTCCAGGCCCTCTCCTTGCGGGGCAGGCCTGGGGTTTAAGTCAACGTTCTCATTCTAACCCCCAGAGGGGTCTCTGAGATGGAGGACCTCCCTTCAGCATTCTGTCCATGCCTCTGCTTGCCCAGCTGAGTTGGCACGGAGGACAAGCCCCAGGGGCACTTGCACAGCAGGGGAGCGGAATGGAGATAAGGCATATGGTGAGGAAAAGAGAGATGAGCGGAAGGACATCATGGACGCAGGTGAAGGGGGCCTCCCAAGGGCAGCTCCATTTTTCCTTCACCTGAGATTACTATTGGATTGAGGCATCAGAGTGAGGCAGAATGTAACATCCACCCCAATCCTTAATCCCAGAGCCCTGAATGCCAGCAGGAAGCTCTGAAAAAGCCTGAGTCAGTGAGTCAAGCTTGTGATAGGTGTTCAAACGTGACTGGCCCCTTGGTATAGATGTAAGGACCCTCTCTGGATGGATGTGAGTGCATAGTCTTACAGTACATACAAATCTTAGCATTTCTATGTGTCTCATTTGCTCCCAAGAGCTGTGTCTGGATGTATAACTATGTATGTCCTTCCTCATACAGCAGGAACTTAATATCTGCATGGTATATGCTGCTGTCTGTGCACATGAGTTCCAGTAAGTAGATGAATGTGGTCCCGCTCGCTCCTGTCCATCCACAGGTCTTCCTCAGTCCTGGCTGGTCAGGGGTCTTGGCCAAAGAGGTAGGTGGTGAGTTCAAGCCGGAGGCACCGGGCATAGGAGCGAAGCGTATAGAAGAGGGTGAGGAAGTCCTGGGTGCTGAAGACAGTGTCAGCCAGTGCAAAGGCCAAGGTAGACGGAATGACACCTCGGCCATACTCCACCATCCATGTGTTTGGCCCCCACTCCACAGCCGTTGCCTCCCCAGGCCCATGCACAACTGTTTCTCCTGGGGGACAGACAGGAAACAATCTCATGAGGAGCCCAGCTCTGCCCTGGCCTTCTACCAATGCATTTCCCTGGCCTATGCACCATCTGTGTAGAGGCGGGAATAAAAAGACAGTTTTAAGAAAGGAAAAAACTCTACTCCACAGGCCTGGCTGTCCAATCAGAGGGGAGAGAGAGACCAAAACACGCCCACTCCTAAATATCTATGGCATTACCTGGCCCATGTCCTCTCTTCGGGGAGACTCTGGAGGGCTACCCCACCCAGCTACAGGCTAATATATAGACGCCATAGCCATAGGCATCTGTATTCCCAAGCCTCACGCCTATCAAGTGGAATGTTGCTAACCCCTGAGCTGGGCTAATTTGACGGGGGGGGGGGGGGGAGGGCGTGGCTACAAGGTTTGCCAGGCTTTTCTGAGAAACATAGCTGTTCAATCACCAAGCTTAATCATTAGCCTTACACCGGCAAGTTCAAACCTCTTCTTTCCTTTGAAATGGCTGCAGAGGTCCATTTAAAAAAAATAACAGGGGCTGGAGAGAGGCTCAGTGGTTAAGAGCACTTGGCTGCTCTTCCAGAGGACCCAGCAGCCACATGATGGTTCTCAGTTTGTAACTCCAGCCTCAGGGATCAGATGCCCTCTTCTGGCCTTTGAAGGCACCAGGCACTGAAGTGGTGCACAGACATACAAGTTGGCAAAACACCCATATGCATACAAGTAAATAAAAATTTTAAAAACAACAAAAAACCCCCAAAACCCCCAAACCGTCTCACCGATTTAAAAAGAAGGATGGGAAACGGAATGTCTGCCTTAACTTTCGGGCATGGGCATGAGTAGTATCTCCCAAACAATGGCTGGAATAATAACCCTGTAAAACAGACTGGTAAAAATCAGCTCCCTCTGGGCAGTGGCGCACGCCTTTAATCCCAGCATTCGGGAGGCAGAGGCAGGTGGATCTCTGTGAGTTAGAGGCCAGCCTGGGCTACAGCGTGAGTTCCAGGAAAGGCAGAAAGCTACACAGAGAAACCCTGTTTCGAGGGGGGGGGGGGGAATCAGCCTCCTATGACCGGAAACTGCCTTGTTTTGTTTCCTTTTAACAAATGAAAGCGACAGCCCTACCCTAAACAGACACCTGTGGCTGACCAGAGTGAAGGAAAGAAAATCACTGGCTAGGCCTTCTCACACGCCCTTTCCACGCCTTAGGCCTTTTCCTACCTAGAGGGCGCCCCCTCGGACAGAACTTCCTAACTTACCTGGGTAGAAGACCTCACTTTTCGTGGTGCCCTCTCTCCACTGGTGGAAGGTGCCAGAGATGATGGTGTCAGAAATCTCAGCCCAATATCGTCCTGAGTGACAATAAAATAGACACCGCCCGTCAGGGTATCCTTGTCAACACACGGCCCAGCCAACCCTCAGAATGGAGGGCACTGACCCTCGAACAGCCCCAGCCTCCCAATCCGGCCCACCGCCAGCACTGACCCGAATGGCCACGGGAGCCCAGGGCGGTGCCGAAGAGCAGCACATACTCAGACAGCGAGGCGTGCAGAAGACACATGGCGCCCATCCAGCCGCCCGCGTTCACAAACACCCACTGCAGCTCCTCATCCGGCAGCACGTGGCCTGGGTGCAGCCTCCGCAGCTCCACGATCAGCCGAGAGAAGGCCAGCTCATGGTCCAGTCCTGATGCAAAGAGGAGTGGCGTGGGTGAGACCAGCCCCGGTCGGGGCTCGGCGGGGGAAGGCGCCCCCGGGAAACGCAGCTCGGCTCACCCGGCCCACCCCGCTCCCCGCTCTCACCCGCTCACCAGAGTACTGCCGAGCAAGCTGCGCGATCTCTTCTCGCTGGAAGACGAAGCTCTGCGTCCCCAGCCACAGCCAGACCGCCTGGGTCAGCACCGCGGCGACAGCCAGAAATAGGGCGATCCATGCCCACCGCCGGCCCACGGCCCACTGCATCCCGGCGGGCAGCCTGGCACCACCAGCGCAGGACACAGCTAGGATCTCAGGTTATGCACATACAGACTCAAAAACCGCTGCCTCCCGTCGCCCCCGCCACCATGGTACGGCTCGCCCGGGCCAATCGGAACGTCCCGGGTACCTAGCACCGCCCTCTGGGTTGAACCATTTTTAGAACGGGGAGCGCTTAGGTTGGGTGGCACGGTCCATACCAGAGGTGAGGGGGCGGGGCCGACGCTCCGGGCTGCCGCCCTAGAGCGTTCAGCCCTGGTGTTCCCTAGCCCCACGCTCTGCGGAGAAGAGCTGGAGGAAGACCCAGAATGGACTGACCCACCTGGGCTGGCGATCCCAGAAGTAGAGCTTTCTAGAACTCGTGACTGCTAGTGCAGAAGCGAGGAGGAGATAGGAGGAGGAGACAGTGCCCCTGGGAAAAGCCTTCCGGAGGTGGGGACATCGTCAGTGTCCTATGAGAGAAGGGCATTGCAGCTGATGGGAATCATTGCAAGAGTCGAAGAGGGAAGGGGCGATATCTGTCTGTCTGTCTGTCTGCCTATAGAGAGAGACTCACTATGTAGCCTTAGCTGGCTTGGAACTTGCTATGTAAACTAGGCTGACCTTGAACTCACTGAGAACCTCCTGCCCCTGCTTTTCTAGTGCAGGGATTAAAGGCGTGCGCCACCATGCTTGTTTACCATGGTGTTTTCTCTGAGCCTACAGTTTATTCTATGTCCTGAGGCACAAAAAATGTGAACGGCCTTGTCT